AGTAAATTAAATGAATCTGATGACCAATTTCGTAATGACAAATCAACACAAATTGAACAAACAAAGTCAAAGATTTTTGAAACAGTGAAGGCTAATAACAAGAAATACGTTGACGATGAATTGACTAATTTTGTTCAACAAGAGATCAATACAGCTTCAGTAGAGGTCGATCAAAAATTTCAAAAAATATCTTCAAAAATTAATACTAACGATAAGGTTATTATTGAAGATAAAATAAATTCATCGAATGAGAAAATAAAAGAATTGAGTAGACAAGTTTTAGAATTTGGTAAAAAAGTAAGAAATTTAATCATTAGTAGAAATAAAGAAAAAAGTAAAGTGGTTGATAGCACTACTCCTAGTAGTAAAACCGTCAATAATAAACAAGAAGAATCAGAAACAACCCCCAAATCAAAAGTAGAATCACCACAACTTTTGGTTCAATCACCTGATCTTGTTTTAAGTACTTTGAAAAGAAGATATGATCCTATTTTATTAAAATTAAAAGAAAATTATAAAAAAATAACTAATAATGAAAAGGGAGAAGAAGAGGAGGAGGAGGAGGAGGAGGAAGAAGAATATGAAGAATATGAAGAAGGAGATGAAGAAGAAGATGATGATGAAGATTATGATGAAGATAATGAAGATGCTGAAGATACTAATGAATACGTAAATGACAAGCAAGGAACTGGAACAGATGAAAAGTAATACCGAATGGAGGAAAAAAATAATAAATAATAAAATGAATAATAAAATAACAAATAATAGATATTAGAATAAATAAAATAAATAAATATTATTTAGATATTTCTTTTCGTCAAAATAAAAATACTTATATTGCTGAATTTAGAAAAAACTTTTATTATATTGATGATAATAAATTTTTTTATATATAAATACTTTCTTTTTTTATATTTTCATATTTTCATTTTTTTTTTTTTTATAACAATTATTTATACATAATTCCACATCTTTTTTTGCATTGATTATATTATTATCATATTAATTTTCTTTATTAAATATTTTTTTTTTTTTTGTAATAATTTTTTCTTTTTAAATTATTAAATAAATTACAATGTAAGTAAATATCTATTTATCCACTCGTTAACAAAAAAAACTCGTTGATTAAATCAAAAATTGCCACCAAACCTTTTTTAAAAGTTCATCACTGTATAATCTCTTAAATCCTAATCTATAACAGCAAAATAAATACCCTCTTGACTGATCCATTCAGAATTTTTATCATTCCTTGAACTGCCCACAACTTCAATATGTCCGTGAATGGGGTTGCTATAGGTGTGATCACGATTTGCTGATAAATATCGGCCTGTTTCAACATGTTGTAAATAAATTTTTTCTTCTCGATTCCAATGTGTTGATGATTTGTTTGTACAAATTATCTTCCAATTATCACCTATATATAATGAATTAATTAATCAATTGGAGAGAATTGATGATGTCGTGATGAGGTAGAGGAAGGAATAGAAGGAATAGAAGGAATAGAATGGAAAGAAAGAAAGTAGGAAGAAGAGAAAAGGGGTGGGAAATGACGTTATAATTTATTTATGTACCAGAATCTAAACCATCAAAAGCACTAATTTCTTGTTGATTTGATAAAGGTGAACGGTGTTGATGACTATGTAAAAATTTATTTGTGCCGGCATGTTGTAATCTAATAATTGAATCACATAGAATTGCTTTTCTAACAATATAAAAAAAAATGTTTCTTATATTATTTTTTGCTTCAATTTTTCCATTGTTTCATTTTTATCTTTCCATTTTTCTTTTCTTACAAGCATAAAATAATGGTAACAGTTACCCTCTATGACAAATATCTCCATTTGCAGCTTTCACAATCCACAGTGACTCAGGATCATCTGGCAATGGTAACCCTGTTACACCTTGTTGACCAGATCCGGTTCCTAAAACAAAAAAAATAATTATAAAGCGAATGAGTGATTTAATATAATTAATGAAAAAAATTGGTTTTTGTCCAAAGAATCTTTATATTTTACCATAGACTACTTTTTTTTCTGAATGTAATTTATAATTTGATGAACCGTGCGTTAATTTTATTGCTGAACCACATGTTACTTTTTAAATTGATTAAGAGCAATAGTTTGATTAATTGGTTCCATTATGGAACTTTGGAGAAAATATAATTTGTTCAAATGATAAATTTTCCTTTTTTTTTTTTACCTCTTTCAAATTCTTTATTTTTCGAAATAAAAATAAATAAAAATTCAATTAATTTTAATTTTGTTTTTCTTAACAAGCCTCAAAAAATCTTTTAAATCTTTTAAACCAAGCCTCCTACCTCCAACCAATTTTTATTACTAAAACAAACTCAATTACCTTCGGAAATGTCTAATGCTTGACTTTTTACAATCGATATACTATTGATGATGATGATAACTAATATGATTATTATACTTTTAATATTGTCTAATTTATAATTCATTTTTCTAATATGTTTTTTTTAAAAAAAAAAATTGAAATTTGTGAAAATTTAATTGGAATTTGTAACAAGAACACTGGAATATGTTACACAGAACATGTTGCTCACCAAACCATGTCGACTGAACAATGATAAAGAATCCGGGCTAGTGATTAAACATTTTAATTTATGAAATGGTCTGTACGGAAGGAATCTGGATATTCATTAATTATAACAATGACTACTAGGAATCATCCTTCTTGTCCCAGTGACAATAGGGAGGACAGGTCAAAGTTTTTTGTACAATTGTTACTTGAAATTGGAACAACTTGCTTTCCAACAAATAATCCTGAAATTATATAGTAGATGCATTTTGCTTGATTAATAATAATAATAAAAAAAAGGATTACTATATGTATCAATGATTTTCAGGAAATATTTATAAATTAATTCAGTAAATATTTTTTATGTAAAGAAAAACTATTAAAATTTTAAACAGTTCATTATATAATGCAGATTTGGAGTGTTGACCAATTTGTCCAGAATTCACATTTATTTTTGAGCTTGGCATAATCACATTTTTTTGGTGCACCACACATCTATTTCCAGAGAATGGGCTCAAAAGTACATTCCCAAAATCCCTTTATGTCTTCAAAACAGCCACATTTAAAATATTCAACACAATCACCAAATTTCATCTTGTTAAAATAAAAGCAACATAGAACTGATATTAAATCATCATTTAGCTCAAAAACAAATTGGTCAAAACCATCAGACAGTAGACCCAAAATTCGAGGAGAAGCATAATGGTAGGTACCAGAGTATGTGTTCAGAGTATTCATTCATCCTACTTGTTTTAATTCTTTTATAAAATTTCATCTTCTCCAAGTTTGGGCTTGGATATTACATCAAGGAGATACATTTATAATTGACTAAATGCCCATGTACACTTAGGCCATTAAGCATGATATACTTTCCTTTTGACAAATTAGATCGTAACTTAATTTGTGTTGGAACCCTTGGATTGTATTACCTTGATAATGCGGGTGGTGGTAGCATCAAGATAAAATAATATATGTTTTTATATATTTAATAAAATATTTTGTGCCTTTTTTGGGGTGCTATAGTTTTATAATTCATCAGTCACGCGATATTGTCCTGTGTAATGAGAATGTTTTTGCATCTAAGCTACAAGAACTGCTAAAATATTCGAATCATATGTTGAATCAAGTTGGCCTGATCCCACAACGCAATTTATTGGACTATGTCCATGCATTTAAAATAGAATTCAAGTCATTTATCCATATTAATATATATGTCAAATATGTCTCGCAAATCTAGAAATAATAGGCGAAAAACCCAAGGTAGATTCACCGATAATCCTAAACAGTATATACAATTTTTAAACTGGGATAAGTACATGCAAAGAAAAGACAGTGATCACATAACTATCATAAATAAGAATACACAAGATGTGAAAGCGATTTTTAATTATGCAGATATTTAGAGGTAAATAATCTCGATCCGAATATTCTCGGCCATGCTTAATACTACTATTAACTTCATCATCCCTTTTTTTCGTATTTCATAAAAATTTTCCGCTAACATTTCCAAAAATGTAACCTGAAGTTGGTCGTGAACACTTGTTGACGATGGTCATGTTTGTTCCATTTTGGAGTCTGAAATCGGATATGATAATCTAATTAATTAGGTTCTATATCATTAAACAAGGTTACAACTGAGAACGCAATGTGAGCTTTTGCTTTTCGTGTTACAAAACACGCATACCGTGCTACGCGAGAATAAAAATTCAATTAAGTTGGGTTTTGCGTCTTCTTTGTCGCAAAGAGCAAAAAAAGACATCGCTCGGGCCAAGACAATAGTCTATTTTATTAAATTCGAAACATATGAATAGGACAGCCGTCCAAACTTATTTTTTTGTTATTTTTTCGTAGAGAAATTCCTCTCAGGCTAATCCAGCGCACGGAACTCACCTTCTACATTCGGTCACATGAAATAATTGTCGTTATTATTATACAACGTTATTATAGGAGACCGTTCTGGTAACACAAATTTTAACCCACGCAATTGTTGATTGATTGACTAATTAAAATCGTGAATTTAAAAATAAAACATTTAATGTGGGTTTGATTCATTGTCAACAATCACTTCACGAACAATTGTTCCATTAACAAATGGTTCGAATTTAAGAAATTGGAAGCAACCATGCGACAAAACCTTTTAAAAGTTTAATAAATTAAATCGTGCTACTCGAAAATGGATTTAAAGGGTTGGTTTTTGACTTGGTTGAAGAATAACTCTCTTCCTAACTCTTCTCTTGACCATATCTCTCGATATAATCAAAAATAACCTTAATATAACGAATGTCAAAATGATTGTAAACGCGACCAATTTAAGATATACGATCAAGATGAAACATGAACGAAATCAAACAAATTTATTTAATAAAATAAAATTTACAACTAAAAAAATTTTTTTTATTGGATGTTTGTTTGTTTATTTAATTTATTTATATATATATATTTGTACGACCTATCTTATACTAATACTTCATTTCAATAAAAATATAAAATCCACAAAGTTCATTATCAACATTGACATCACCTTTTAAAGGTTCAAATTTACCAAATAAATTTTCAAACAGTTTTGGAAATTCAACAAAGAGATAATTCATATCACAATCATCTGTATCATAGTTTTTTTCCTGAAGGGTGTTTACAACCATTTTATAAAATATTGATGGGCTAGGTGGAGGAAAGGTGCGTGTGGATTCAAGTTTACCAGTTATTTTCCTTTGAATTTTTTTGATGTGTTCTTTTCGACAAAATCCTTGACATGAATGTGTGAAATTTTCATTGAAATTCATTCCTTGATAATCTTTACTCCAAGAGATGAAATAATCACAATAACGGTCTAGCAATAATCCTTGTGTTTTAACAGATAATTGACTAAATAGTTGGTCTGATTTGTAGACTGAGAAGTTATCAAGAACCAATTTAGACGAACTCTTATAAACATTTTTGAATCTGTAAAGATCAGCTAGGACAAGTGATAATAAAGGTCTAGATGGGAACTCACGTTCCAAGAATTCTTTTCCTCTTTCAATAAATGAATCGACCAAATATTTATCAGCAATTCGAAACAATTCTGCAACATTATCCCAGGTAATCAGTAAACTACTTCCTGGATAAATAAAATCCAAAAGATCTTCAAATGTTTGCATTGGTTCGTCAAGTTCAATGTTTTGAATTCCTTGAGTATTGCTGCTAGTGGCGGCATCTATGAATAAATCTTTGAAAATTTGAGATGCAAGACTTAAAATTAGTTTATGGATCTTAAATGATTTATCTTTGACGATTATTATAATATCACCATCAGGATAATTATGTTTAGATGATAACATCTTCTTAATCAAGCAAGAGTTAAATAATTTTATATGTAAGAAAAAGAATATTCAAGGAATGGTAAATTAATAATAATAAATTCATTTATTATTATTATATTTTTGTTATTTATTATGATTGTTTTTGTTTTTGTTGTTACACCGAATATTACAAATTTTGTGTGTAATAACTTTGTTTTTTTTTTTCTTTTTACACAATAATAAGGAATTGAAGGATGAAAAAATGAGTAAAGAGTGTTCGTAACTTCTGATCATTTTGATAAAAATTTTGTCCGGCTTAAATTCATGTAATTGAAGCAAATTATGTGTTTTATACGTTGATTGTACGCGAATTTAGAAATTTGTCATATTTGAGATCTATGCATGTCAAAAGTGTGAGTTTTATTTTTTCTAAACATTAATGTTAACGCAATATTAAGAATGGCTAAATATTGACATTATTCCTGGTTTAATTCTTTATTACAATAAGGAATATATTGGAGAAGTTTTATCATCATACTTTTTAGAAAGTATTAAATATAAAAAGGGGGTTTTTTAAAAAATTTAAAATTCATTATAGAATCGATCGGCATACCATTTCCCACTTTCTACAACCAAATCCAGGAAATCAACCTGAGCAATCAAGCAACAACATCTCATTTCTTTCCACGTACTCAAAACGAAGTGAAATCAATCAGGGATTGGGGAATGTACCATCGACGCGTGAACTACTCCCCCCACCTTTTGAAATGTGGCACCCTTCGAAAAAGCTTCAAGAACTCTCGGACGAATTCGAGAAAAAAATACTTTACGATCGTCCATCTGTTCCTTGTGCCTATTGTTCTGTGCTGATGATGAGAGCTGCGGTTAAATGGATTGATTACGATCTTGACGAAACTTACGACATAATGATAGCGTTTCCAGACCTCCGATTACCTTTGCGCGTAAACAACAGGGGCCAAACCAAGATCGCTGTGTGTTCATCGTGTAAATCTATGAAAAATCACCGCTTTCCACCTACCCTAGCGGCGATACCTGAGGAAATAAGTGCAGTTCCGATGAAGCATCGCAAACGCATATCTCCAATTCGAGCACAACATTTGCAATGGAACAATAGGAGTCGTTACCAAGAGTATAGACCACAATAACGTCGAGGTCACTTTCCCAACAAACGAAAACATTGTTAAGATCAATGTTCAAAAAGCTACCGCGAACTTTGAAATTAACGGAGTACATGCCTCGAGACACCAATTCCCTTTACAGAACGCTCTTGCGTCAACCGTCCACAAGACCCGAGGCCTAATGTTGCCGCACGTCACCTTGACCATAGATCAAAATATGTTTGCTCCTGGTCAGATCTATGTGGCGATGAGTCGATCTCCTTCCTGGAATTCGATGGACATTTTTGATTTCGATTTCGATTCCTTGAAGGTAGATAGGAATGTGATAAATGAATACAAGAGATTGAAATTGTTAAACGAAAAAGGTCTAATAGAGATGATTCAACGCTGATTTGGTTTTTCATAACAGTAATAGATGTTGAAAAAAACATTTTTTAAAGTTTTCTATTTTGTATAACGTTATTGTATCACATTAGTTAATGTTAAATTAGACTATTTGTATAACGTCGTATCACCATGATAACAATAAATGATGCAACTTCATGATTTAGTACTGTAGTAACAAAACATCTTTGCTGTTTCTTTGTACGTACACATTAGACTATTAATAGATTACTTTGCTCGAGTTTTCGATCGTAAACAATTGATTGGTTAATTCAAATTCCAGTGAAGCATTAATTGGGTCTTTTTGTGTTTTTTGCCACGTCGCCAATTTTGAGAAAAATTTTCCTATTTTGTTCATAGATCTTGTCCTTAATGCTTGTACAAACTATTGAATAATTGATAAAACGTTTGTTAGAATATTTTGAAAGCTTCATAAATCTTGTCCTTAACGCTTACTTCGATCACTCCTATACAAACTGGATCTTATCATCCTCAAAAAACGATGATTCGTTGTTGTCGTTGCTACTAATTACTGAATTATAATATTATTGATTGATGGATCTTCATATATTACAAATGTAACCAATTAGCGAAATTTATCTTTTTTTAATTTTTTAAATTTTTTAAAAATGTTTCCTTAACTAAATAAAATAAATAATAAAAATTAACAAAAGGGAGGGTCATGTCACGAGGGGTCAACACCCAACATGAGCCACCCGTGTCAGTGCCACCTCCCTAGCACGTGGGACTTTACAGCCGGTCCAAAGTGAGGCATTGCACCTAAGGGAGCCGGACACAGGGGGTCTTATGTGGTACTTCATCATTGCATGACTTTTCCCTGACCGATACTATTATACAAATTCTATGACTTATATATCAACTTTTTTTCAAGTTGTGCAAAATATGGGATACTAACCATTTCATTGGATTA